GCTCATTTGACTTTCATTTTGGTTTTACATGTAAGACCCCAATCCACTTTGCCTCTCATATTTATTCATTTTTTTCTAAGATAATCTTTGTAATAATAATAGTTTTAATCAATATACTTAATTAAAAAGAATATTTTAGGAAAAACAATATCCTTTTATTACAAATAACTAACATAACTAATTTTCTTAATTTACTCAAATTAGTCAAGTAGGTCTTATATTAAAGGGTAGAGGTAGTATTAATAATCATTTGATCCCCCGGCTGTTTGTAAGTGGCACCTCAATGGTAGCAGAGGGTTCTCGGTTAAATCTGCTTACAACCTAATCCAAAGCCCTGTTTGAAAATGACGAGAATAGGGTATGGAAATTAGCATGGAAGTGGCATGGCCCACAAAGAGTCCGAACTTTTCTCTGGCTAGCACTAAGCAATAAATTGCTGACTAATAGTGAAAGGTGCGGCGGCATTTGACAAATAAGGACACGTGCGAAATCTATGATAATGGAGTTGAGGATCTGGATCATATCCTGCGCTTTTGTCCTCTGGCTGTTGAAGTCTGGAAGAAGGCCTTGCCTTCTTGTGATCTCACCTCCTTTCTTAACCAGCCCTTTGAGAATTGGTTAATCGACAATCTTACTGTGGTTAGTAACGAACAGTATTGCGTCTCACTCTTCGGTATTATCTACTGGAAGCTCTGGAAAGCTAGGAATGATTTTCTGTTTTCGCATGAAATTGTAAAGGCTCACAGACTATTTAATGAAGCTCTCTCTTTGGCTAGGCACACAATGCACACGCATGCTACTGTTAAAGCTGTTTGCTAGTTGACGTACTATCCTCGGGTGTTTTACCACCCTCCCTTGTAAATATCTTTTATTAATAGTATTCTTTTCACTCAAAAAAATAATCAGATGTAGTATAATCCGAATGCGGATAATTCAAGATTGCATGATTAGTGTTAGCCATCCACAAGAATATATATACATATGTATAATAAAAGTTAAGGGGAAATTTTTTTTAGAGGAATTAATTAGACATATGTAGCAGCCTAACGCTATGGTGGTATGATGCATTTTGCTAGAAGTCCATCCTCACTTGAGAGAGAAGCATTAGCTTAGCACATAGCCCTTTTGAGTCTAGCCTCCCAACTAACCTATCATTTTTGTTGGTTTAGGTATAGATACGATAGAGGTAGTAAAACAGGCTCAACTAATTTATAAACATATCAAAATAAATTATTAATTAGGTTAAATATTTGTAAAAAATGCATATGGATTTTTCTAAATATTTTATTTAGTCATTTGTATTGAAAACTACATATATTGTTGATGACAATTATCTTTTATGTCTGCAGTTAATAAGAATAATTAGGAACAAGTTATAAATTTGATGGATAAAATTGATTAAAATCTTATGTAGAGGACCAAAACAAACATCTCAATTAAATTGAAGGGAACACTCTAATCGTTTGACTAAGTATACCGTTGATGTGATGTAAAATGCACAACTCTCTTGGAAAACTCAGTATTGTATTCCCCCCCCCCCCAGCCCTTTTGCAAAAATTATTCTTAATTAAACTAAAACCATTATTTAAGTTAAGAGTAAAAAGATAAGAACATTTTAAAATATATTATCTATATTTTATAAAGAACCTTATATATTATAAGACCAATACATAAACAGAATCTTGGAAATAAGATAGGATGAAGATAAAGAAACGGAAAGGGTTGCCAACCATGAAAAAATGGTCATATTTGTGAGCTTGTTTGTAGCTGTCATTTATAAACACATTTGTGTAAATTTGTGTAAGTTGAGATAAAACTCATTTTACATATTTACTGATATCTGTTATTACGTAAATTATAATTAAAAAGCTTTTTATAAATATTTTAAGCAAACCCTATATATGTCTGCTAATCATAAAACTTTTTTTAAATTTTTTCACATCCTCCTTTTATATGTCTAGTGACGCTAATCATGGATTTAATCCCGCACTACTAGAGACCATTACGAGCTGTCCCTGTCACTGAAACATCTTCAAAGTTCTATGCGAGCTCATGCGGCCTTGTTTTGGAGCTGGGAAACAAGTTTGAAGAAAATGTTCGTGATCACCTACAGATAAATCTAAACGCTCTTGTACTGTCCTCGCTTCCTTACTAAGCACGGAATGCTACTAAACAAACAAAATGATCTAATTAACTTCTACTTAATTGTTTGCATGGTTAATCAGCTCACACATCTCCCTCAAGAATTTCCAATAACTCTACTTAAAGGAAAGAGAAAACTAGAGGTGAATTACTCTATCTATGTATAGACTTTTTCTAATGTTTTTGTCTATAATATAAAACATACTTTTAACATATTTTGTCCAAAATAGTAAAAACTTAAACTTTATTAACCCTGTTAACTTTACTTCATTTTTTTTTAATACATACACTTTCCAACTCTACAGAATAATAAATTAAGAATAAAATCATATATTTATATATTAAATTTAATTAGTTGATTTATATTAAAGTAAAAAAATACTTTTTTTAATCGTATAAATAGGATTAGAGGAATAAGTTAACAATGTTGCATTTAATTAGGAGGGATGTAAAAGTTATAAAAAAAAAAAGAGTGCAAATTGAATAAAGGTTATTTTTTGAATATGTGTGAATACAGAAAATATTTTTCAGGGAGCTACTCCCAATAATATTGGAATGTGCCAAGCTATATAAAAAATTGAGTACAAACAAAGTTTCATTCTTTGTTTAGGCCAATTGAGACTTGGGAATGCCGATTAATTTCAGAAGCATTCAGCAATTTTTCCATAATTACTATTTCCTTGCATAGAATACTTTTTTGGATAATGATGAACAAAGACTTGCAATAAATAAGACCAGAATTTTTATTATCCTTTGATTGTAAGATGACAAATATATGATTCAAAAATTAAAAAAAAATGCTACCATAAAAAATAAGACCAGTTAGTTTGTTTGACCCTTAGTTTATTACCCACGTCTTACTTTTTAAAAACTTATACATGCAATAGCGCCAATACTTAATATAAGAATTTAGAGCAGATAAAACGGGTCAAGCCCATCGGGCTGGCACATTTAAGTCTGTTTAAGTTGAGAGCCGGACTTGTAATTTGGGGTTTTCAAAGGAAATTTGGACTTAAAAGAACTAGCTAAAGCTCAAAAAGAAAAGAGTCGGCCCTGTATGGCTGAGGACCGACCCGTTTAAGCCCGCCAACAATAATTTTTTAATTTATATTTTTTTCTTGATCCTAATCTAAGTCCCTAACATTTTACATACTTTTCCTCTCTAAGTTTCACTTTTAGTTTTTCACTCACTCTTAGCTCACACCTCAATCTCTAATGATATTAAAATAAATAAAAATATATTATCCATATCGTAAATCAAATTTCAAATTTGTATTTAGTTGAAGCAATAGTTATATATTAAAATAAACAAAATATATTTCTCATATTAAAACAAAAAAATTTATGATTGAACCAACAGATATGTGTCAATTTGTATATATGTTATAAAATTTTAATAAATAAGTTAACACTTTTTCTATAGTGACTATATCATAATTTGTACTGTATATTTAAATAGAGATAGACAAGCGAGTCAAACAAAACTAAAGAAGACCATCCTAAATAAAAGCAAAAAAGATGACACAGTAGCTCATTAAAAAGCATACTATGAATTAATCTAAAGTGCTAAGATATTTCAGACTTCCCATGAGATTGCGCAGCAAAGTGATTTTCACAATTAAAGCCTGAGAAATCATTGAAATTTTTAGAAGTTAAGAAAAGTCTATTACTAGTAAAGTACAATCAAATATTGTTACAATTAATGATAGTAATGATAGTGTTTGTCTATTTTATTTTTTTGGTGAAAACATTTGTCTATTTTTAATGAAACTTTTGGGTGTTAATGTCATTGACTTGTTATATCTAATGGATGTTTTAGATTCTTTGTATGTTGATGGACATTTAGATATAATGATCTTTTATATTTGTGACTTAATTTTATTCATATTTCTGTCTTTTACCAGTAATTTTATTAATTTATTTTTATTTTTTGATAAAACATATGAAAAATATGAAAAATAAATTTTTTTATTAAACAGGCCAAAAGCCTGAGGAATGGCCCTGAGCCATTTGTTTAAAGGCCGGGCCTAGAAAATTAGGATATTTTTGAAATTTCAGCCATATAGGGTCAGCCCTTTTAAGCCTGAAAGCCCTGCAGGGCCAACCCTGAAAGGCCGGGCTGGCCTGTTTTCCCAACTCTATTAAGATCCAGTTAATTAATTTGAGAAGATTAAGAAAACTAAATAAATATTTTACTTAGTTTATTTGCATATTAAATGTGAGCACATCTTTCAATTGAGATTCTAACCTTGGTTTGTCACTTTGGTTTAAAACATTTTAAATCATGTGATATTTACAATAAATAATAATTTTATAGTATTATTTTGAATTAATTTATTAATTTTTAATGCTACCTACTATTAACTTTTTTTGGGTGACAACTAACTAGTATTAATTTTTATTGAATACAAACAATGTTATATACTTTTACTCTTCGAGTCTTAATTATGAGTTAATATAATTTTTGGTTCTTTAAATTTATCTTCATTTTGGTTTTGATTCTTCAAATTTTAAATCATAGGTTTTAATCTTTGAAAGGACAAAATGATCCAAGTTTTTATTAAATTATAAGGACTAATATTATAAATAAATAGAAATTTAAAGGATCAAAATTTATAGTTTGAAATTTGAGGGATCAAAACTAAAAAAAACTTGAGGGATCAAAATTTGTATTACCCGTTTAATTGTTAAATCATTCAATCCATTTCTCCATTTTAATGACATATTTGAAGTCAAAAGGAGAAAAACTTGAAGGCGGTGGTTTTAAGCGATAATATCAGAAACATGGAGGACAGATTGGAATAATATTACCCTCAAATTTGATGATGTATAGCAGTGATAGCACGCAGCCTGGGATATCATTCCTATCCTATATATTCTTCGCAGTCGTTAGCCAGCCTTCCTCTTTAGGTTTCAGACTTTCAGTATTCTCCTCTACTCTCAACGGTAGCATTTCATTTCTTCGTAAACCCTTCTTCGTTGCTTTTCGGGGAACGTCGTCGGACCTATGGCGTCTCAATCCGCCAATTTATGGGTCCTTTTGGGATTGGGCTTGGCTGGAATCCTGCTAATGACGAGGAAGTTCAAGAAGGTCATCAAAGAGGACTTTGGCGCTTTTGTCGAAAAGTTTCTTCTTGTTCCTCCGCCGCAGCCTGCTCCCCCTATAGCCCCTCACCCACTTACCGGCCTCACTTTCGCCGTTTCTGATGTGTAAGTCACTGCGGTTGTGCATTTTTGTTGCTTGGGAAAACTTGTGAAAGAAATGACAGAATAGGGAACATATGCTGCTGTTATGTGTCAGGGCTTGTGTTGATGGTTTCGGTAATGGAAGTACTTTTTTTTTTTAAATATCGAATTCGAAGTTCATCCCGTTAAGGGTTCTTTCAATCAGTTCTTAACTTTTGAACCGGGATATATTTATCTGGTGGTAGTTTCGCTTAAAGGGCTTTCTCCCGATTAAGGTTCTAGGTTCATGTCACCCCTTCGACCCCCAAAAATATTTTTTTTTCCAGAAGAAATTTTACTTTACATTCAGATCTTATCTACTTGCAGAACTAGAGCTGTTTGGCCTGTATTTGCAAACTTGCAATTGTTGATGAAGCTATTGCGGTTTCTAGTTTACAAAAATTTTATCATGCTGATCCAGGTTTGACATAAATGGATATGTTACCTCATTTGGCCATCCAGACTGGGCAAGAACGCATGGACCCGCTTCTCAGACATCTGCTGCAGTTTCTTCTCTTGTTGAAGGAGGTGCAACCTGCATTGGGAGAACCGTAGTAGATGAACTAGCATTTGGGTTGGTATCATATTCCCCCCCTATAGATTTAATTTGATGAGATATGAAAACTGATAGCTGCATACTGGGGGGGAACTCCCTTTCAATAGATGGTCATAGTTATCAATATCATCTGAATCATGATTCAAATAATCTGATTATAAAAGGTCCCAATGATACGAATACATGTTTGAATCAGAAGCAATCTTAAATTGACCATGAATTGTGTAATTCAACTCAACTCGGAAAAATCATGTAAAAATGTGTGAAAATCGTGAGATGCTTTGGAAATGTTCTAATTGTTGTCAAGTGTTAATTCAGCTTTATTATTAAAAAAAAAAAAAAGTGAAGAAGGATATCACTGTAAATTATTTCAAGGCCTTAACTATCGCAAATTTATGAGTATTAACGAGCTTATCTATGACTTATGTGTAACTTGCTTTCATCCCTTGAAGTTGTGATTACTCTAAGTTGTTTTTTCTTTTTCGTTTTGATTGTTACTGAATCTTAGAATGGACGCTCAAATATTTTTTTCCCATACATGATACATGTGATCTGAAAACTATATAAATGATTTCCATATAAAAGCCCTAGACAATGTGACTTTGTGTTCTCTGTAATATTAACTCCTGTTACATATCTTGATTTGGGAAATTTATGTTTCTTTTTGGTCTTTCTTACATTCAGTATCAGTGGTGAAAACAAGCATTTTGGAACACCAACCAATCCCGCTGTACATGCTCGAGTACCAGGTGGCTCCTGTGGTGGTGCTGCTGTGGCTGTTGCTGCTGATTTGGTTGAATTTTCTCTAGGTGGGCTGTTTTTTGTCTTTTTAGTTGTTCGTGCTACTTGTTTGGTTTTATAATGACACGGGGTGAATTTGCTGTAACTAACTGAATTTCTGGATCTATATGTTTACTTTTTTTGTTGTTAATACATAATACTAATCGAATTGTTGCCAACTGCACTGTAACACTCAGGTTTCCTATTGATGCGTTGCTAGTTCATTCGCACTAGTGGATGGCATTAAATTTATGCTTTAAGTAGTTGAATGTTGTGGAAATTAACTAAATTTCTGAAGAAATGGACTGATACCTTCATCTATATTCTACATACTGTCGGCTTTTTATTATATGGATATGACATGTTGAATTCAAGTATAAATCTGTCTATACTATTAATAGGATAGTCGCCAACACAGCAAAAACATAGGATAATCTCTGTCTGTTTTTTATTCCAGAATATGGAACAAGTTTTAAAGGATTGGTGGCATTGATCCTGCAGCTCAAATGCATCAAGATCTGAGAGATTTTAGGATATAACAAAATAGATAGTGACAAGTAATTAAATCTCCTTATAAGCTAGAACAACAACAACAAAGTTTTATCCTACTAGGTGGAGTCAACTACATGGGTCGTACAATGCCATTGGGCTCTATCCAAAGCCCAATCTTTGGATATATGTTAATTGAAAGATTTTACTCAATAACTTGATGAAGTGTTCTCTTTGGCCTTCCCCCATCTTTTTATAGGGGACTCCATGTTGTTTGATCAACCCTTCTTATTGGTGCATCCAAAGGCCTTCTTTGCACGTGACCAAACAATTTGAAACCATTTTTTACCATTTTCTTATCAATAGCAGCTACTCCAACTTTTCGATAGATGTGTTTAGTACGAATCTTATTTTTTCTTGTATGACCATGTATTCCTCTTAGCATTCTCATCTTTGCCAACATTCACTACCATATAGCATTGCTGGTCTTATAGCAGGGTGATAAAACTTTCCTTTAACCTCCTTATAACCTGGAACAAACAGCAGAAAATACCATATTAAATGATTAAGTGCCAAAGAAATCTCTAAAAATTAGCAGGAATAATAGCTTGCTAAAGAATAATGTTTTGCTAACACCAGCTGCAGGTGGGCCATACCTCTCAAGGGAAAGGCAATGAATCAGGACCTTGGTCGCTTGATAAAATTATGTTAATCTAAGAGGGTAGGAAAGACTATCTGTTTCAAGTTTTGGACTGCTGAATTTGAATTGTTAAAATTTGGGGGATGGTCCGTTGGCAGCATGAGGTACCTCTTCTTGAAGAGGTCATCTTAGTAACCCTAGACTGTTGTTCAATCATCTACTGTTCAATGCCCCTCTTAATTTCTCTCTCTTTTTTTTTTTTTTGGAGGTAAGATCAGATCATTTGTGGTTATTTCTTTTCAAGGTTTTCTCACCCTGTGTTCTTGCTGCATTCTTGCTTGACTCTGGTGAATCCCTGTGTATTTTTTACCGTTTCGATTTCCAACCACAAAAAGAATTAGGTTCAAGAATGGATTTAAAACATAACGAATACTTGGATGCATTGTTAGTTAAAACTTAAAACGTTGCAAAGACCTTTATATTTATAATTTAATATGCTCTGTTGATGAAGATAAATGAAGGTATAATTTGTAAAATCGACTTATTATCTTGTTTTACTTAATGGAATCATTACTTGAGTCTGAAAAGTCTTGTCTGCTTTTATGCCTTTGTTTTATGTCAGGTATCGATACTGTTGGAGGGGTAAGAGTACCAGCTGGATTTTGTGGTGTTCTAGGATTTAGACCTTCGTATGGGGCTGTTTCTCATATGGGAATTATTCCTGTTTCAACAAGCCTGGACACTGTTGGTACAGATGATTCATTATTTCTTCTCTTTCTAATAAACTGTTCATTTATGATAACAAGTGCCTTATCATATGGCTTCATGGCAGACTCATAATCTTGTACAGGTTGGTTTGCGAAAGATCCTAAAGTTTTGAACCGCATTGGCCATATACTGTTGCCAGCATCATTTGTTATTCCTCGCCATCCTCGACAGATTATAATAGCAGATGATTGTTTTCAACATATAAATGTTCCTTTGGATAAGAGTTCTCAGGTGGTGATTAAATCCGCAGAGAAACTTTTTGGAAGTATGTTCTTTTGCTTTATGCTTCTTTTTAGCAAGGTTTATTCTTATGACCATTAGAAGTTCTTTATTGCATGCATGTTGTTGTCTTTCCAAGTAACTTCTCTGTTGCATATTCAAATGCACTATATTTTTTGGTAACATAAATTGTCTCCAGGGCAAGTACTAAAGCATATGAATCTTGCGGACTACATAAGTTCCAAAGTTCCCAGCTTGAAAGCGGCAGCCAGCCAGCATGTAAATGGTGAACTGAAAGATTCTTCACTGAAATTACTTGCCAATGTTATGCAGTTTCTTCAGAGGTCAGTTATTTTATTTGTAATATAGAACTTTTGTTATAAATTATAAGCTTCAAATTTGTTAAATACATTCTGTTTGATGGGTTTTCCACAAATTTTATGTTTGCATATCCATCTTCCCAACTATTGGTAAACAGGTAAATAGCTATGTGATTTGAAAGTAATGTGAACTGGGTCTTTATCACGTCTGATATCTGTTTTTCATTTTATCTTCTTTTTTGTTCATGTTTATTTAGATCTCTGTAATATGATTGTCTAGACAATTTGGATATTATAGTGATTGTTGTATGAATCTGCTTGTTCAGACATGAATTTAGACTCAAGCATAAGGACTGGATGAACGCAGAAAAGCCTACGTTGCATCCTGCTATCTCAGCTCAGTTGCAAGAGAAGTTTGAGGTATCAGATGCAGATGTTGAAAAGTGGAAATCCGTCAGAGATGAGATGCGTATTGCTGTTAATACTCTTCTGAAGGTAGTGAACTTATGACTATAGACCATATTGCACCTATTCATTCAATTGCTTTGGTGTCAGATAATGCCTTTTGATTCTGAGTAAGCAAAAGGGGAATCAGTAACCAGAATCTTTTCATCCTATTGGCAGAAACATTGCTAAACAAACTTTTGAAAATGCACACAATGTATATAACAGAACTTATGAAAAATCAGCCCTAGGAAAATATGACAGTTACTTCTCAAGCAATAGCATTTTGTATCTTTGTGGCATAAATCTCTCAATTGTCTTTGGTGCTATTTGATTCTTGTTTGGAGCATTTGGTTCACAGACCACCCAACTGAAAAAAAGGGGTGAAAGTGGAACTTTCACAAAAGCGTGGAACTACAAAGTTTATATATTGACTAGGAAAAAATATTTTGCTAAATTTTAATTATTAGTTTTTGGTTGCTTTTAAGGATGAAGGAGTTTTGGTGATCCCCACAGTAGCTGATTTTCCTCCAAAATTGGGTGGGAAGGAGATCCTGTCAGAGGACTATCAATCTCGGGCATTTAGTTTGTTGAGTATTGCTAGCGTATCAGGTTGCTGTCAGGTAAATATTGTATACTTCTTTTGCAATTTGGGCTTACTTCCATCTTTTATATACATAGGGGATCATTGGCCTCCTTGCCAATGCTGTAGGTGGAGGGTGGCAACCTTCACAGTCTTGTTTTAGACCGAATTGTTACCTAATAGACGACAAAGTGTATGGATATTGAAGTCATTTCCTCATATTGTCATGCGTTAGTGGGCTTAGAGAATGACTTAAATACCCTTGCATTAATTATATATGGATTTTGTCCCACAAATATAGATGTTGCTAGCCTCTATAGTAACACTGAGGAGATTATTAATATGCATAGAGAACTGCACCTAAATAAGAAAGATGTAGAACTCCTAAGCTGTTCCATTTTTATGGATTTTGCTGCTATTCATCTTTGATGCATATCATCTGATAACATGTGCTTTCAGGTCTCCATTCCAATGGGAATTCATGACAAGTGTCCTCTATCGGTGTCCTTGATAGCTCGACATGGTGGTGATCGCTTTTTGCTGGATACAGTACAGGCCATGTACACAACACTCCAAGAGCAGGCTGAGATTGCCGCTAAACCTAAATCATCGAGAAATGTTGTCACTCAGGAACAATCTGCTGAAATTGCAAAGGAGAAGGTATTGCTGTCATGAATTGGATACATGTGGCACTAAAATTCACTTTATTGTAATTTAGAATGTTGCTAGCATAATGCTGTGTGGTTCACTTACCCATGAACTTACCATTTGAAGACCTGCGTTATAAAGTGGAAGTTGACTGGTGATCATGAATTTGTCAATAATTTTGGTAGGTTTAAACATGGCATGCTTGTTTCATTTTGTTTCTTAATTGTGCACGTATCAATGTCATTTCATTTGGATGTCTCCATGCTATTGAAAATTAGTGCTTTGCTTCTACATGATGGGTCCCCTTCTGACCTGAATTAGAAAAAAAGGCTATATTCTATGAATGCCTTTGATGTAGAATGCCAACCAACCAATTATAGTTTCATTTCATTTAAACTTTCTGCTTAATGAAATATTTCCTTCTGCCTACTTGTGTTTTGAAATGTCATTCCAATTTCTGACTAGTCTGTACAAGTTCTGGAAGAATCTCTATTCAGAGACTGAAAACCAATTTTGAGTTTCCTGCTTTGTTTGATGATGTTCCTTAGAAGCACAATTTTTAAGCTTTTGGTTGAGATTGATATCTCTCCGTTGACAATTGAATGTTGAGAAAATGGTTTGCGTCTCCAATCCATGTTTCTTGTTACACTTTTCCATCTGGTGCAGTTTAAGAAAGTTTCAAGGGAGTTCCTTTCTTTCCCTCAAATCGTTTTCTTCTGATCTACTTTTATGTTTTTCCTCTGAGCTAAACTCGGTGAAACTTTGTCTTCCTTAGATCTAATGGTCCTTTTGTTATTACTATCTATAGTATTATTGGATTAAATGTTTGAGAGGTCTTTTAAATTGGATTTATGTAGTATGTTTCACTGAATTGTTCCAAGAAATCGTAGATCTATCATGTAACTTGTAAATAATGTGCCCTTCTATTTTCAAAAAGCTGGCCAATATAATTTTCTTCTTCCATTTGTTTTGAGTACATGAGAAGTACTGAGACCATGTCTTTCACCCCTTTCTCTTACACATGTTCGTATGTACTGTGTTTTAAGTAGTTGTCAAACCTTAAATAGGATTTCCATTTGTATTTCTCTAGAACCTAGCTGCAGCTGAGTTCTTGATCTGCAGTCTTCTCTTTATCTCTTCTTTTCTGTTGGATTTCCTCCCCTTAATTCTTTTTCTTTTGGTTTGTCATTCAATGATTCAGGGAAATCAAGCATTCAAAGATAAGCAGTGGCAGAGAGCCATTGGGTTCTATACAGAAGCTATCAAACTCAGTGGGAATAATGCAACTTATTACAGCAACAGGGCTGCAGCATATCTTGAACTTGGGAGGTAGTGTTTCATTCTTGCAACTTGCTAGTTTAACCTCATGGTTGTCTTGCCAATATTTGATATATATATATGTATATATTTTTTTTAATCCTGTACATGCAGCTTCATTCAAGCCGAGGCAGATTGTACAAAAGCAATTCAGCTTGATAAAAAGGTGACCCCTGTCTTCTGTGATCTTTGAAGTTCTATGCGACAGTACTATTGATGGTTTTGTGATTATATGTTATTACTATGGATGACCAACACTAATCTTTATTTCAAATATGTATGGATTCTTTGACCCAAAAAAAAGTATGGATTCAACATCCCGATGATGAAATTTGGTGACGAAATATCTGGTTTACCATTACTACAAAGATAAATTCTGAGTCTGACCCAGCAAAAGCAAAATGGTCTTGTAAAATTTCAAGCCCATTTCTGGTCTGTAATTGAGTGCTGCAGTTTACTTGCCAGATAAATAAAATTTTAGGAAAAAGTTTTTCAACATCCCCTCTGAACCAAGCCTAAACAAATGTGCTGCTTTTGTTGTTACTTTGTGCGTCATGTCCAACTAGAAACCAAATGTACGGTTAGAGTCAGGTAGGCCATGTGCTTTTGTGACAGATAACTTGTTTGGACTGGAATGTGACTGTTTTATGGCATGTTAAAATAGCCTTTAATCTTTTGTTTGTTGTAGAATGTCAAAGCCTATTTCCGAAGAGGGACAGCAAGAGAGATGCTAGGCTACTACAAGGAGGCAGTTGATGGTAAGCTCTTCCATTCTTTTCACATATTTGTTCTTGCTTGTTAGGTAGTTATCATGTTATTTGAAATTAAGTTAAGCGGTTAAGAACCATGAGTGCTTAATTCGAGTTGGAGATGTGAACGTCATATTTCGCTTAAAAACTATTGGACAGTCCAATTCTGCAACTTCATTAAGAGGGCTTGCCACCAATTTATCCTCTTTTTTATCTGAACATTTCAGATTATGGGCTCATCAATTCTTTATTCTGCAGATTTTAAATATGTTCTTGTACTTGAGCCAACAAACAAAAGGGCAGCTTCCTCTCTTGAAAAATTGAAGGCACTATTCTAATAGGGTGCCTGAATATGAACAAGACTGAGGGCTCAGTTGATTGGTTTTTACCCACACGCTCCCGACAATGGTGATCCAGATGCTATTGGGGGAAATCAAATTGCGTTTCTAGTTGTAGTCATACAGGAGTAATGTAGAATGTGGTTTCTGCAGAAGAAAAAGATATGTATGATTTTTTGTCCTTTCTGGCAAGACAATTAAGAGACATGGAAACCATTTAGTGTTCATTCTCATTTCTCAGCATTTGTATTTTGTATCAGGTTCTATTACACTAGTAATCCTCGTTTGCCAGGAGGTGGTCCAATTTTGCTTCTTAGGATAGATTCGGATTGTAATATAGCAGTCAAGTGAGGCATAGTGCTCCTTGGTATCCAATTATGCAATACTCTTGCAATAATTTGCTCTGATCAGTGCTCAGTTTTGCCCAACCAAAGTGCTTCATATGTTGGTTTTCTTGTGTTCCACAAATTGTAGGATGTGTAGCCAGTTCTATTTCTCCTTGCATGGCAGGTACGTTTGCGTGTATTTGCATACGTATACATACATGTATGCATTTATTAACGAATAAAAGAAAATAATTGCCATATTCAGTGAGAAGTTTGTCTGAAAAACTTAAAATGCTGGTTTTTATTAATGTTTTATTTCGCTCTTGTCTGAGTTGTTCTCAGGTGGCAGAGTCTAGAGAAGTTAAATAACAAGGGTAACCAATAGAGGAAAACAATCTAAGAAAATAATTAGTCTGGCATAACTTGGTAAAATGTAAATTGATGATATCTTCAGCTGGGGGAGCCAAAGGCCGGTATTTGTCTTCTGTTCGTACCATCATGATGGGAGATTCCACCCAACCCTGCATTATGCCAACATCTTAATTTTCAGAACTCGAGGGAAACAGCCTAAGAGAGCCATGGCCTTAATGAATTGATGAATTGGTTCTTCCATAGCAATTGAGAACATAAAAGGAATATTTGATGAATTTCTATCTCTATCTGCAGATGAATGGTGACACCATAAAATAGTCAAATTGTAATAAAGATGCGGGACTAAAAGCTAATTTGTCATAAAGAAGTACATTGGAGTTTAACCGTTTTCTTTTTTAGGGGAACTAAAGATTGAAAATTATAATCATCTAACGTTAGAGAGAGCGGTAAAGCAACAGTTAGAAGTTTAAACATTTGACTCCGTACAATTCCGTATTAATAATTGTTAATTGTTGTCATGTTGAAAAAAAATAGAATATATACTACCTTCGCTCCTAATTATAAGAGCTAATTGACTAATTTGAAGAGATTAAAGAAAGAAGTTAAGTTAGTTATTTGTAATAAATATATATTATCTTTCCTAAAATATTCTTACTAATCAAGTGTATTGGCTAGAACTATCATTGCCAGAATGACTTTCTTGAAAAAAAAATGCATAAATTTGAGAGACAAAATGGATTGGGTTTTTATATTTAGAACCAAAAAAGTCAAACAAAGTTTTATATTAAGAACCAAAGGTAGTAACTAATTACGCACGCACCCATATATATATAAATTCCAGAAAAAATAATCTCTGAAAATAAATATATAAAATATAATTTCCTGGGCTTCTAAAAACGAGACGATTAATTTAATTAAATTAAAAATGAAAAAGAAAAGAAGCGGGAAAGCACCTGTTTAGTGATGGAGGGCAGTCCATGGGAGGAATGATGGGACGCCACGTTGCAGGGGAAGCTCAAAAATAGGAGTCAGCGTCAAGGCGTTGAAGTGCCATCCATTTGGGAACCGATTCTGCCGGTCATCCCCCTCGCAGAGCAGCCCCCTCCTCCTTTGCCTCCTCATTTTTCTATTCAATCAAGCCCTCCGCCATAGCCCCGCCAAAAATATAACCGAATCCTGGTGGGCCCCACTTTTCCGTTTCCTTGATTTCTCATTTCTCTTCCTCATTTAATTTATCTGATTAACTAATGTTAATGATCGACGTTTCTTCTCTCGTTTCAGAGCAACAGGGATTTCATACCATTGTGTTTGATTAATAATTGGAATTGCAGTGAGATATCACAAGAGGCAGGGAGATTGAAAATCAATGGCGGACTCACCTGCTGAACCTGAACTTCCTCACTTGGACCAAATGCTTGGCCTTCTCAGGATTCACATCAAGCGTGGTATCAATCTCGCTGTTCGTGATGTTCGTAGCAGCGATCCTTACATCGTCGTCAAGATGGGCAAGCAGGTCTCTTATCTTCCTTTTCACTTCTTTCTCTGTTTTTGATGTTCAACTTTTCTCGCATTGATTTCGTGTATGCTTCTCCTTTTTGCTCGATTGCATTCTAGACCTCCGCCGAATAATTAATACTCGTCTTGTTTCGCCCGCAATGATGATTCCTTGCTGATATGTAATTGCTTTTAACATTACGGCCGCATTGATTTGGACTCCCGTGGGGATCTTGTTGTTTATTCTTTGGTTGTTTCCACTTTTCTATATGCTGTATCAACGATTGCTGTCGTGTGGAATTATTATGCTCTTTTATTCCCGTCTAGTTTAGGTCTAAGGTGCTGATTATTGGCCATACTCCCAAGATTTGGTCTATTTTTAATGGTGGTTTGATTATTGCTTAAATTTCTATCAGAAGAACTCATATTCAAATTTCCTTGAGCATGTACTTAAACATAATTTTTATACAATATATAATCAAATCACAAATGCCTCTATTTTTGTTCTTCCTGCTGCAAATTATCTTGATGCAAATTCTGCCTACATATGAATAAATTGTCTGGGTTTTTTTCCCTCGCATTTTTTATATTCACGTAAAATTTTTCGGTCAGGTTCATATTTAAATTACTCAAGGAAGCTCCTCTCTTTTTTTATTGCAAATAATTTTAGTTTTAGATTGTAGATTGGAAAGTCTTCTGCAAGTGGATATTTTATTGTAATTAACTCTTTCTCTTTGCATATATTCATCAGCAACGCATTAAGTTTGGTGTAAAGTTTTAAGGACAATATATTGTTATCTTAGTACAATTATACAGTGTCTAATAACACAAGAAATAATTCGAAGGTGATTCTTGTTTCCAATCCTTACTGATGGCAACAAGAGGTATTTTTAATTCCCTATTTGGACTGAGCAAACTTGAGTTATTAGGATTGTATCTTGTCACGAGATGAGTTATTTTTCTGTTGTTTTTTTTTTTTTGGTTACATGGTATTTTTCTGTTTCACTTCTTATTCCAACATGCTTCAATCATGCATAAATGCCTGAGTAGTTGTTTTTCTTTAACTATGTACAACCATGCATCTTTTGCCAGAAACTCAAGACTCGCGTTATTGAGAAGGATGTTAATCCTGAGTGGAATGAAGAACTTACGCTCTCTGTTGTGGACCCGAAGCTTCCGGTAATATTGGTAAGATTATTGTACATCTTTCTCAAGTATGAACCTTCCTGAGCTAATTCCTGCCTTTTCATCTCCCAAATATGATGAAGTACATAGCTTTTTGATTCAAGACTAAATGAAAAATTAATACTCATATTGTAGTGTCTATGCCACTCGTTGGAATGAGAATAAGTATCTAGAAAAAAGAAAAGGTAGTCAATCGCCAATTGTGAATCTACACACACAGACATCCACCTGAACAGCTTACTAGTAATAAACACCAATTTAGCACCTCACGGATTGCTCTGCTTTGAATTTTGAAGCAATAAAACTTTCTTGTTTTCTTTTTGCTTCTGTTCTCCCCCCCCTCCCCAAAACACAACACGCTCTGGGCGTCATATTTCTATTCTTTTCAACTAGGATAATATGGCCCTAGTGTTTTCAAATGATGGTAGTGTAGAAACTTCATAAGGTTTGTACTGTTCTCACTCGAATGATATGTACATAATAAATATATCTTGACCTCAAATGTTTTGTGACTCTAGGTACAAAAGCACTTCTGTCCATATCAATTAGAGTGATCTAATTCCACTAGGGGGGAAAATCTCTTTGAAAAAGGAGAGTGCGCTCTCTTTGCCGTAACTTCCTTTGCTCTTTTTCATTTTTAAAAAAAAAAAAAATCTCTTTCCCCCTCTATTTGCTTCTTTTGGTTTCGGTGCTCTGAGACACTGAAATATCAAGTATCAATCTCCTAGGTCCCGTTTGGGTTAATCAATGAAAAAGGAATCGATTCTGTAATACATGAATACTCTTTTTATCATTACTGAATACCTATTTCGTCTTTTTTACTCCTATCATTCAATTTGCTTATATATTATATTATATTACCTCCGGTCCTAATAATAAGACCTTATTTAGCATATGAATCAGGCGCCTTAATTTTACACCAAAATCTTGATCTCTTTGTGAGTGCAGACCGTGTATGACCATGATACCTGGAGCCCAGATGACCCAATGGGAGATGCAGAGTTTGATATCATTCCATTTCTAGAAGCCTTGAGGATGCAAGTATCGGACCTCCCCGACGGTACAATTATAACAAGAGTGCAACCAAGCAGGCAAAACTGCCTAGCAGAGGAAAGCTGCATTGTGTTTAACGATGGCAAGATTATCCAAGACATGGCCCTCAGATTGCGACATGTCGAGAGTGGCGAACTCGAAATCCAACTGCAATGGATTGAGCTTCCACGTGCTAAGTAGGGTTCAGAACTTGACTTTTCTGCTTCTCTTGGTCGTCCTCTTCATCAAAACATCTTATCATGTACGTGTTTGTTGGTTTTTTCTCCTTCACTTACTGCCGACACCCTCAGTTCTGCAAGGGGACTCGGCAGCTCTTCTCAACGTGTTGTTTCATGAGCCCGTAAATAACATGTTGATGATTGATGTGTGATGAGGGAAAATCTTATCTTAGTTTGTGGAACCATTCTGTGATTTTACACCCCCACCCCAATATATACCCTAATCCATATTTCCTAATCATTTGGTCTGATATGCTCTAATGCCTTTTGAACGGCCGAATTTTCAATAGGAAGTCTCCCGAGATTACTCGTTTGGTGTACAAAATTTGATATATATCTTTAATCCAAATAATAATAAAAATAAATGCTATGAAAAAATGCTTCTCAATTCTTTCTTCCAAGGGGGTCTAGAAAAAAAATTCCTAGTGATTCATTGAATCCATCAGTAGTTACACCTACTCTGCCCTTTTGTACTCGACTATTCGTCTTGTTCCTAGAAGGATATTTGCATCATAATTTTTTAACCATTATGAAAAGTACTTGTAAATAAACAAACAAAACAAATAGAGATATATGGATCTCATGATGAGTGCAAAACTCCTTGTTCTGTAGGATTACTCGTAACAAGCTCTTTCAAAGCCGCTGGTGCAGAGGAGGAAAACATGATCAATTTTCCATTGTAATTTTACTAGTCAACGATGTGCTATACTTAAAAGAACTAATCAAGTTGTGACGTGGCTCTTTCTGGTGGAAATATTTATATGTAATTGAACACCAGCAATAATAATATCATATCGGTACTCGAGGCTTACATTTAAACTGAAATTAATTCTTTGAATGGAAGATCAGCTTTGACAATTGATTGTTGTTACATGTGGTACTAACGACGGCTAAGGCGAAGGCAGAGTCTGAGTGATCCTTTTTGGTTGCCTGCAATAATCATGTGATGTTAGATTTGGGTCAGTGACATGGTTGACCCGCGGCAAAAGAAAAAGACGCCACAGCAGGCAGCACCATTTTGTGCAGGAAAAATTACTTGCACGGATCATTTTTTTTTTTTTTTGAAACAAGCATCCTCTTATTCTTAAAGGTAATCTTGGTCAAAAAATATTATCGGAAATTAAATATGTATATTTTTTTCAGTAAAAATTTAAATATTAATTTATCATATTACGAGAGACTAGTTTTTTTTTTTTTATTATATCCATCTTCATTGGTTGTGAGGATCAAATCTACCCCTACAAACCACAGATTCGTAAGCTTTAGCAGGTGTGGTAAATCCAATCTAATTTATATTTTATAAACAACATACTATTTCATTTATGAGGACCCACCAATCCAATTTATAGATTGGAGAGATATTTTTATTAGCGGGGAAAAAAGTGGGCGTGGTGAATCCAAATAGAAGAGGTAGAGGTAAACTAATGAATGAGACAAAGGAAAGAATGATTGCAAAAGGAAACAATGAGTTCAACCAAAATGCATGCGTTGCTTTAATGTCGTTGGAACCCACAACCACGCATTCGAAAGTGCATGCAGTTAAGCTAGCATGAGCATGCTCCTTTGGAGTTTTGACTTCTCATTTTAATTATAATTTCTGATTTTAATTAAGAGGTGGCTTTGCCATCACTTGCACGTTTCAATCTCAAGTCCTTCGTGTTCCTATTTGTTTTTCATTTGCTGTAAATTTTTTAATTACTATTTTTTAGATTTTAAAAAAGATATCTGACTATTTTTCAATTTTACTCTTTCTTAAAATAAATAACCATGAAAAGCGTGTCCATAAATTAAAAGTATGCTGATATTTAAATATAATTAACAAAGAGTTAATTTTTTTAAAAAAATATAATTACCACACCGTTATCCTATATATATATATATATATATATATATATTCATAAAGCTTTAAAACTTTGTCATGTAATTAAAAAACTACTCCCCTTCATCATTATAATTCCAAAGCATGCTTCACTGGTCTTTTCTTGGACAGAGGAATAATTTATTCAAAATTATTATAAAAAAACAATTAACAATTATTTACTATTATTCAGGTTTCATGTAAGGTATATATCTATTCAATTCGTGCATAAAAAATTAATTTTAAAAACAACACAGCACAACTGCTTTTTCTTTTAACACCAGAAAATTAAAAAAATTTTAACAACACAATTTTTATGGTCATAAGTGAGATAAGAATTTTTAAAAAGGGTCATTGCTAAAAGTTAACTTTAGTGTGGAGTCCTCCAAATAAATGTCATTGCTAAAGGCACTTTATGGGATGATCAATTATATCATTTGATGCTCTTTTTAATATCAATATCTGGAGTTGCCATTAAAATGACCGACATTAAACCCCATGAGTTACATTTTTGCAATGGCTTGTCCCCAAAAAAAAAATTTCTTAGTTTCTAAAATTCCCAAACTAGTAATAGCTTAACGAAAAAATAAGTAATTGAAAAAGGAGACTATTATATATATATATATAGATATAGATTTTTATCTTGTCAATCTCACATTAACATTAGTAGTTAAGTAATAACATAGGACTAGCAGATCATCTTCTTTTTATTTTATTATTAAGATTTTCATCCAATTTGGTAAAACTCAGCCGCTTGCACAAGCTCACGAATTTCATCTAATTAGACAAATGCATTATTTATGATTCATTATATATTTTACTGTATATATAAATTATATCTTCTTGGGACGAAATACAAGGGATTCAATGCAAATTACTTTAATCCCTAATAAAAGAGCTATTTAGCTAGTTTGGATAGATTAAGCAAGTTAGATGAGTTATTTAATTCTAACAAATATGACATGATCTCCCTAAAATACCTATACGTAATATTAGATTATATATTAATTTATAATAAGTCAGATAAACAACTTTAGGGAAAATAATAAATATGACAAATACAATAGATTAAGATCTTATATTTAGAAATAAAATCAATTTTTTAATTAGTTCTTATATTTAATATTAGAGTAGTGTATTGTTTGAATAAATTTGATAAACGAATATCAAATTAAATTTAAATATTAGGTACTCTACTGTTTAATATTCTCATTCCTCTAAAGCGTAATATTAATTGAATTTAAATGTTGATGGTAGTAGTGATATTTTGATAAACTTTTTTTAACTGATAGCAAGATGTGTGATGTGGCTGGATAACTGCCAATAATTTTACGTGATTTTTTTGGCCCTGAATAATATATTTTGCATGATTGACATGATAATAACCACATATTACTATATAAAATTTTAATGCCATATATATATAATGATGTAATATGTTGTATTAAACTGGGCGCAAGAGAACATTAGCTGCATGTTAAATCATGATGTCCTTCTAAATTATTTCCTTCCAATTGGATTTGACGTAAAGACAATATTACAATCATATCATTGTTTGAAACATGTATTAAACGTCAAATATTACAAGAGAACGAATAAACTTTTAAGAAAATATTGTACATATATTTTAAGGACAAAGGAAACTGAGATTCACTCCTTCACTAACTTTTGAACACCAAGCTGGTCAATTTTCTTCTTACGAACACTCATTATTAGGTAATATCACAATTAAAAAAATTTATTAGTTAATATCAATATCATTTATGATCTTGTAACCTAGCTACCTAACAGTATGAAAACTTCTTTATACGTAGTCATTTGGATTAGCCTATATAAGTGTTTATAAGTATATTTTATATAAATAGAGATAAATTTTTTCTTATATATATACATATATCGTATTCTGTAAATCATAATTTGGAAAAAAAAATTACTCATAAATTATTCCAAACGAGCTTTATAGGGTGTTTGGGGTGTTTTGTGGTGTTTGGATATTTAAAAAACACCTTTTAAAAGTACTTTCATATAAATTGAAATAAAACTCTTTTCACATACTTATCTTAAATTTTATAAAATCACTTCTAAAACTGTAATTTAGTTTTCATCCAAACACCTCTAAATGGGTGTTTGGGTAACACTAGAAGCTCTTTTTCACAAATTGGGATAAACTCTTTTACATATTTATTTCGTATACCGTAAAAGCACTTTTGAAACCATGATTCTGTTCTTACCGAAACACTCTCTAAATAGAAGCTTATAAGTTTGATCTCTCCTGTAATGTGAGATAATTAGTGTTTAATGGCTCTAATTCTTTTTTTTTTGGGGCCTGAATACTGGCTCTAATTCAATGTATATATGTGTGTGCGCGTATGACAGACTGAGAGGGATACTATGAGGATGAGAAGATCTTGGGATGATGATGCTTTACGAAAGGTGAGACTGATTGGGAGCAACTTCATGATGAAGCTAAGCATTTATATATGTGCAGCTTCAGAGTTGTTCAGAATTACTCAGACCAATATTCTCTCTTTTTCTTAAATGTTTTTTTTTGTACAAAGACATTATCATTTTTTTTATTATAATCAAATTCTGCCTTTATTTGCTTCATCCATCCGTTTTTCATTCTGCTCTCATCATTTTTTTTTTCCCTCTCAAGTTTTTAAAGAACTTCAGTACCATTTTGCAGCAGAGAGGGAGAGAGAAATGATTCGAAATGTTCTATATTATATTAGCGTTAATATTTTCTCACACACACACAGCTTTATAGATTCATGTGACTCACATCAACAACTATTGTTCCTTTTGCTTTTCATGTTGTTTTTCAGTTTCTTTACAGGAAAAGGGGGATCGTCTTTTGGTTAAAGCAACAAACCAAAAGTTCTTCACCAAACCCTAAGCCTTTGGGTTTAAGAATAATCAGCCTTGATACCTGAAACATTTATTGATTTGCAGATAGCTCACGTAAACGTATACATATTACAGATTTCTTCTTCTTCTTTTTTCTTTTTAGTTGCTCTTAACTGCTCTTTCTTGATGCTCATATGATGGAAGATGAACGGAGATTTCCATACCATCAATTAGATGGGCTCGGAATGTTAACTTATTCGTATATTTTATTAATGATCCCAACCAGAAAACAATAAATTAATATTATTTTCTTTTTCGTTCTTGCCCACCGGCATCTATCATTTCATTGGGTGTTTGAAATCGTAGAACAGTTCGGTATTTGAAATCGTGGAACAAAACTACGTACATACAAATTAAATTTTGGTCACTAAGTATAAGCATTTATAAGTACGTTTTACGTAAGTTAATGTAAAACTCTTTTTACATATTTATCTTATA